GGATGGGGGGGAAGGGAGGGATGGGGGGGGTTGGGTTACTGAGGGGCCTCTTGTTTTGGGTTCAGAATCTGTGTGTTTCTTCTTGGGGATTAGGCAGGGATTTTTTCTTCTATGGAATTGTTAACGAGGGGCTGCTGGGGATGATTAGCAAGTTCATTGTGTGAACTGCACACATCCTGGTGGTTGAGCTGAGTTTGTTGACCTTCTGCAGGCTGTATTTTTCAGGATTGGTAGCCAGGTTTTCTTGATTTTTAGACTCTCCTCTTTTTTATTGAAACTGTGCTGGTGTTTGTGAATCTCAATGGCTTCCCAGTATAGCCTGGTATAGTGGCTGTTGCTTCTGTCTGTGCTCCTGCACTCTGAAGATGCTGGTCACAGGTGCTGGCGAAACGTAAGGAAACAGAACTTCAAGAACACAGCCACACAGCCTGGAAGACCCACACCAGCCATTAGAAAAATTACTTTAGAATTTAAAATGAGAAGCAAGGATCTTACCAAAGAGGAGAGAAGCACCTAGAGAGGTTCTGCAGAGATAGTAAAAATCACCTCCACTAGACAGCTAGTGGGAGAAACTGATCATGTTCAGCATAATGGAAACAAAACAGCTAAAAATCATGCAGTTGGCTAGAATTATACATGATATGTAGGCCCAACAAACAGTTATCAGCCTCATATCTACCTCAACAAAATGCTCATTTTCTTTGGAGACACACAGGATTGGTGACAAGACAAAAGAACACAACACAACAAAGCCCCCTTTTCTCATTTTCCCTTCCTTTCCTCTCTCTGCTTGCAGGCCAGTAGTCAGAAATAAAAAGGCAAAGTAATTCTTTCTCTTTTTTTTATAAAAACCTTCCAAATTAAAACTTAGTGAATATAGACTGCTTTTGAATTGCCAGATCATTCCTAGCACTTTTCCAGGGCTCAGTCCAGATACCAAAATATTTGTTTTCAAAAAGCATCTGTCTTCAGAGGCTGTTTAAAAGGGCAAAAGGCCTCATTCCCATTTCCAAAAAAGGATTTACACGTCTCTTTTTCAGAGTGAAACTATATACTATTCCTCTTCCATGCAAAGATGTTTATTCTGGGATGAAATTAATGCTATAGAAGAGAATAGTAAAAAGCAAGCTTGAGTTTATGGTTGATATTATTGTTTTGAATTCATTTTAGGTAGTATTACTCTTCTAATTATTTTGTAGGTGTAGTTTTAAATGTGTCTTGGCCAACAATTATATTTGAATACAACTTAATAAATGCATCTGGCAGATGAATGTTGTCCTGTGAACACTCCTATCCAGGGATCCAGACAGCCAATTTCATTTCAGCATCTCTGTTCCATCCCCCCTTCCCATTTTTTGTTATTTCCATAAAAGGTATCCAACATTCCATGATTACTGATCACACTTCAATTTTCATTGGTCTGAGATTATTTTTTCCCTTCTTAATATTTATGTCTTAAGATTTTTTTGTCCTTCTGTAAACCTTGAACTATTTGTAGGCAAATAGTGTAAAAATGTAGGAATGCAGATAGATCGCTCAGCACTCATCAGTTTAGTTGATGTAAGCCATCTTTTAAAAATATATAAATCATTGATTTAAAAATTCTGTATCCTGAGTATTAATAATGCAGATCTGACCTATTGATGACATTCAGTAAAACAACACCCCCTTTAAAATTATTTATCTAAATGAACATTCTTGTTATAGAAAATGTAAGTTTTTTTCCAGGAGTAAATTTTCTCAATTAGCCTTCTTCAAACAGGCACCCTCCAGATATGTTGATATGAACTTTTGACCATACTGGCTGGGAATTTTGGGAATTACAGTCCTAACTCATTTGGAGAATATCAGATTGAGAAAGGTATTGAGAAGACATCATAAAGACAGAAACAATTATTGTTGAACTACGAGGTGGAGCAAGGAATGATAGCCTTTCCCAGACACTGTATATGAAATTGGGAGGAAATGGCACTTCTTTGCCCCTTTCCTTTGCAAAAGATATTCTGGTTGGAGACACTGAAAATGCAATGCTCATTTTGCTATCTAATTACTTATTCCTGCTCCAGTTAAGCCTGAGGTGATCTGAAGTAATTACAAACTAAGACTGTTTAATAAAGTCTGCCTGGTTCTTACAGGACATTTTTATTACACACACGGGGGGTGGGGGGTGGGGGAGAGAGAGAAACCAGTCATTACTGCTGACAATGCAAGGTCCCAGCCTAGACATAAAAATCCAATTTATATGGAAATTCACTGACCCCATATTCTCCAGTGAGTAATCCTTCAGGTCAAATCTGATGAACTTTGGAAAGATAACAAGAGGATATTGCAGTGCTACTTTGTCTGTGACAAATAATCCAAAAGATTGACTAGGATAGAAGATGAACCTAATAAGGCCAATTCTGCTAGTAAGATATCAGCTTTAGAGATTCACATTTTAAAAAAAAAAAGTTGGATTATATTGCAGTGAATTAAAACATAGAATGGCATTTGATACATGCATACCTGATTTTTAAAAAGCAGAATGAACTATTGAGCAAACTGGAGAGAAGCAGAAATCAAAACATTATGTCTAATAGAAATGCATTGGGAGTGATTATTCTTTCTTTTTTTGTTGGGTTCGGTTTGGTAGCTACAGGCACAGCAAGCTGCAAATAGTGACATAACTATTAATTCTATTGTTTGCTATACAAATTTATCTCATAATGAGCTTTCTCAAACTGAGATGGAATTAGTTGCAAGAAGAAAATTGGCTAGATCAAAATGTGGAAATCTCAAATGTTACTGCAGTAGAAGGCATACTCAGTGTAATATCTAATCATTTTGCACTATATCAAACCTGAAGCGCATCTTATCATTTCATAAACAAATGCACTCTGAAAAAAATGGAAGGGAAATTATGATTCCACATTTATATGGAGGATTCTCAAGACAAAACTCAGTGGGTAGGTCATATATTACACTAAGACACAATTTTTAAATAACGTTTATTGACTAACTCATAACTGAAGGGGTTCACACAACATTATGTTTGAACAGGTCAGTATGGTATATGAGGAATTGCCAAACCAAAAAAACATTCCCACCCAGAAATCTCCTTTCACTCTCTACCTTTTCAGTATAATTTAATATCCTCCTATAAAAGGTAGGGTGTAGACTTTGGCTAAACATTAGAGATAAACATAATACAGGGGCACCATTTTCAATGTTTCGTGCAACTGGAAGGAGATTTCAGATTAAAGAGCAACTTAGACTGAACAGAGGCCAACAATAAACGTAAAGCTATTCAACACACTGATGTCTGCTTAAACATTATACTGAATATATAGAAAGGCTTACATACAGAATCTAAAATGCTTCAGAGACAGATTTTGTTGCTGAGAAAGAATACTGTGAAAAAAATGATACTATCTTGCTATTGCATCTCTAGAAGAAGAAATGCATTCAGTTGTTTGTCCACTAGCTTTTGATTAGAAAGTTGTTTTGCAATAAGGCAAGATAGTATCTATATACACCCTGTGCTGCCAGATTAAAATTAAACCTGGCTTTGTTAGAAAAATCTTGCTTAATAGAATGGAGAAGCTGGAAAATTAGAAGAACATTTTAAACAGGGAGCACAAGAGGCAGTTTTAAATGGTGAATCCAGTAGTCTCACACACTTTCAAGAGTAGAATTTTGATGGCCGTTCACAGTGCATTTGAATCTCTTCAGCAAGATTGAGACACAGCAGAATCCGCCTTTTCTCAGCTGTCAGTTCCTCTTTGGGGATCTGTCCCAAAAGTTTTTTGGCAAAGATGATCAGGTCTTGCATGAAAAGGCCAACTGGTGAACGAGGAGCCTCGGGGAGACATTCCAAGCATCCACTTTTGAAACAGAAGTTGATCTTCTTATCCCGTTTCATCCCTGGAGCCCTTTCTTCAATCCAAGTCAGAGGCCTTAGTTAAACCAGAAAGACTTTTTTAAAAGGCAGAAATCAAACTTTCCAAAGACTTGTTTAAAAGAAAACCATTTGCTTAGCGTCACCGAGATGGCATAAACATGAACATTAATTAGTCCAAGCTTTTGAACTTGATGTTAAGAACTGCCATCTAGCGGTAGAGATTCATTGCTTGGTTTGTCATTTGTACTGCTTTTGAATCTACAGAACTGCTGTGGCTGATCTGCTTTTATTTTTGGCTGTGCGCTTTTCAATAGAAAACACTCTCTTTGCATCCATTTGCATCTTGGCAATAGCAGGAGAAAGGAAGGACTCCAAATCTATAGCCCGAATAGGTAGGAATACACTGCATAATGCATTTGCCAAGCAATGTATACTGATGATGTTCTATGAATTACTGATTTTAAAACAAGGAGGCTGCCAAACTGGCAGAGCTATGCCTGCACTGCTGCTCACAAGAATGGGTCAGTGGGGGTCATGCGCTGGTCACTGTTGGTCAAGCTGAAATCAAAGTAATTCAGTCATGTCACAGTGATCAGTGAGCTTGAACTGTAGTCTGAACCCATGGGCCAAAAAGCAGAACAAAAGAAATGACAGAGAAACAGCTACTGCAGCTTGAAAAACACAGCAAAACAGTCACATTCCTATATTTTTGTATATTGGAATCAACAGGCAGATGCTGGGATTGCAATCTGGTTTTGCGAACTGGCTGTAAAACTATAGCTTGTGAATGTTTTGTTAGGAAAGAGAGAGAAAAGATGCCTAATGACAATATATGTTTTGAAAAAGGGAGATCTCATCAGAGCAGGTTTATGACAAAGTGCAGCAAAATACCCTATGGTGAAATTGTCAAGGAAGACAGTGGGCCATTTCTGATTCCATATGCTTGTGGGAATATTAATTTGTATGTGCTGCCTCCTTTATACAGAAGCATCTTATGATCTTCTCAACAGCAGTTACAAGTATATTTATATTTTACCCTCTCTAAGGTTACAACATAATTTCCTTCTTTCCATAGTCTACCCTTTCTAATCATCAATCCTGTAAGGAACTAAGGAAATCCCTCTGTTTCAAAAACATGGATTCTGATCAGGCTGGTTAGTGAAAAAACAGCTGCCACCAACTTGAAGAATAAACTGCTACACAGCTTTGTGATGGCCCTACCATAAAACTGGGCTTTTAAAGGATTTAGACATTAAATGCTTACTTAAACATGACAAAGATACTTTGGCTAACAATTTTTTTAAAGTTGGACAAGTTCATTTTTTTTTCAGCAAAAAGTCCAGAAGGGGTTTCCAGTCACTAATAAAATGTAGTTATTGTCCTTTCTTTAATCAAACTAGTCAGTTTTGCCATCTCTGCTAATTCTGTCATCTTCACCAGCCATTCCATCACCGTGGGTATTTCAGAGTCTTTCTATTTTTGGGCATATAATAATCTTGCAGTGCCCTCACCAAAGCAATATTCATGAGATTGGTCAGGAATATACCAGCAATGCTTTCATGTCTATCAGACACTCATGCTAGACTTGTTGAAATCTAGGGCTCTGTCACAGCTAAACAGCCATAAATATGAGCAGCCAAATACTCAGCGAATGCAAATGGATGATGTCACTGGAATAACGCCAGTGGGAAACTGCCAAGGAACAGAATAGATCTGGAGCACTATATATGTCAGCCAAATGCTAAAAGGGTAGCATGACATTCAGAAGCTGTTTGCAAAAATCTCTATAGGCTCTACAAAGACAACACAGAGACTGTTCTTGTCCCAGATAAGCTGGCCACAGGTGGCCCCTTCAATTCTGCAATTTCAAAACCTTGCTTTGTATATATTTTAATAAGTCCCACATCATTTTTTTAAAAGTTGGACACTTTTGCACATCTCTTAGCACCACATGCTGGTATTCTTCATCTCTCACGCAAAGTGACTAAATAGCTACTTTTTATTATTTGAGTCTTCTATTTAAACTAGAAGCCTGAAACCTTCAAAATCAATACAAAAAATTCATCCCTACTAGTCTCTCTCTCTCTCTTTTTTTTGCCTCCTTTGGGTTTGCAGAGATGTTATAGAATCAAGCCAAGTCAAAACTGGCAGAGTTCCCCTGCCAGGTTTTCAAGTCTAGACCTAACAGCCCTTGGTTTTTTTTATAAATAAACTTCAGATGTAATCCTATCTCAAAAGGTTAGCCTCAATGAGCTCAATGGGAATGACCTCAGAGTAGATGTACAGACTGTTGAAGACCAAATATTCTGTGTCACTATGCTAACTCTTTCTCTGTAATCATGAACTCAGAAGGTGGGTGGTTTGAACAGCTCACTAGAAGAGGCTAAAATAGGATTGAGTACTTTTTGAGATCACAACCATTGTCCTACCATACTGAATGAACCAGGGAGTCACTTTAAACCATAGTATGGTTGCTTTGTTTAGGCACACCATCCTATGTGAATGTAGCATTTGGACAAAAGGGTTGGAGGACCAGCTTTTTGAAGCCTAGGTATTCTCAGTCACCAGGCAATATTGCCTGGAAACTGGAAAAGAAAAAGAAAACTAGCAGGTGGGAAGTGAGATATCCAATGTGATCACTTAATAGCTGTTAGCCTTTCAAGATAGCCAAAGCCAGGAAACAGGAGATTCTAAGACTCTTGGAATGTACTTTAATGTGGTTATGGAATTAATAGAATCTTGAAAGCCTGTCAAAGTCCCACTCGTATTTTTAACACAATCAAGGCAGATTTGCTTTGAGTTTCTTTCTCATACCCTTTCCCAAGACTTAAAAATAATGTTTCTCTATCCCATCCTCATATCTATTCTCCTCCCCTTCCTTGAGTCAAACTGAGCATGTGGCCCAAGCAGTGGTAAATGTGTCCTTGTAGGTGGGGTTGGTTCTGCCAGCCTTGAAAGAGGTGGTGGTTCACCCCCTCCTCAAGAGCCATCCTTGGACCGACTTCTGGGAAAGAAATGGCAAAGTGAAGACGGCTCTACTAACAGCAAAGCCAATGACCGTGGCAGGATTAAGAGCTGGCAAGTACACCAGCTCTTTGTACAGTGGTACCTCGGGTTACGATCTTAATCCGTTCCGTGACTCTGGTCGCAACCCGATTTGGTCACAACCCGAAGCAAATTTTCCCATAAGGTTCAATGCAATTACCGTTAATCTGTTCCGGCGTCCGCGGACCACGTGTCAGGGGCGGAAAAACGGCCGCGGACCACGCGGCAGGGCGGAAAAACGGCCGCGGACCATGCGGCAGGGCGGAAAAACGGCCGCGGACCACGTGGCACGGGCGGAAAAATGGCCGTGGACCACGTGGAATGGGCGGAAAATGGCCACGGACCACGTGGCATGGGTGGAAAAATGGCTGCGGACCACGTGGAACGGGTGGAAAATGGCTGCGGAACACGTGTCACCGCGGAAAATGGCCGCGGATCCGGTTCGTAACCCGAGGTAAATTTTTGCGGCCAGAGCTGGTCGCAACCCGAAAAGTTCATTAACAGAGGTGTTTGTAACGTGAGGTACCACTGTAATTCTTCTCTGGACAAGGAGAGAACTTGAGATCACCCACAAGTGCTCCAGACAGTTGCTCCTCGCAAGGAGACTGCAAGATAGAGGTCTCTGGTGAGTTTAGAGCTCTGGGAGATGAGGGAATAGCCATCTTGCTCAAGCCATGGTCGGCCCCTTCAAAAGGACACTGGGTTTGCATACTTCCTTTTCTAAACACTTTTGGAAATTGCTTGTTAACTGCCTTTCAGCTATTAGGAACCTTTGGATCAGCAGGTTTTACAGCACTAGGTGAGTCTCCTTCAATCCTTAGCAAAAGAAAGTTTTAACTACAAGTTTAAGAAATTAAAAAATTATTTTTGGGGAATGAATAGCAAAAGGTTAATTAAAACTTTGAGTTTAGAAAGTAACAAAGTGTCCAGGTAAATTTGAAATAAGATTTTGAAATTAATTAAAAGAATCCTTCCCATGGGAAAATGCTTTTGTTTTGAATTTTTTTTTTGAAAAAAAAACAATAAAAATTTTAAAATTGGACACTAGAGGGAACTAGAGGAAAGTAAAGATTACAATTACAGGAAAAGAACACATAATCTTGACTTACAATTACACAATGAAGCAAAATATTCTAACACTGTATATATTGAAGGATATTTTTGAACAATGGACTATTTGCCATTTTCACTTTTCCCATTCTGAACCCCATGCCAGTATGCTGATGATACCCAATTATACATCTCTACCCCACCCATCCCCAAGTGATGCTGTTCAGGTGCTGGCTCAGTGCTTGGAGGCTGCAAGGGCCTGGATGGGGAGAAACTGGCTGCGACTCAACTCTAGCAAGATGGAGTGGTTGTAGGTTTTTGGCCCCCTGGGGTTAGAAGAGTTGACCTCTCTGACTCTGGATGGGGTAACATTCCCCCATACAGATCCGGTATGCAATTTGGGAGTCCTCTTGGACTCATGGCTCCTGCTGGAAGAGCAGGTGGCAGCCATGGCCAGGGGCCCTTTGCACAAATCCACCGTGTGCACCAATTGTGCCCATTCCTGGACCAGGAGGCCTTGGTCATAGTCACCCATGCCTTAGTCACCACCCGTTTGGATTACTGCAATACACTCTACATGGGGCTGCCCTTGAAGACCATCTGGAAGCTACAACTGGTCCAGAATGCAGCAGCATGCGCAATTTTGGATATCCCACAGTTCACCTGAGTAACTCCACTGCTGCATGAGTTCCAGCTGCGTTCTGGGTGCAATTCAAGGTGCTGCTTATCACCTTTAAAGCCCTACATGGCACAGGGCCAGGTTACTTGCAGGACTGCCTCCCCCTGAGGGTATCTGCCCATTCTACTAGGTTAGCTAAGCTGTCCCCTCCCTTAAATGTTGCCTCTCATGGACTTTGGAGGCATGCTTTCTTGGTGGCCACCCAAGTCCTTTGGAACAGCCTCCCACCAGAGATCAGGGACCCCTACCCTTTTGGTGAAGGGTGAAGATCTGGCTCCTCCTCCAAGCATTGGGCTAGGATTGTGGGGGTTGAGCTGTAAGGATGTTTAGTCTGGTGCCTGGGGGGAAGGGTATATTTTAAACTATGTTTTATGGATTGCTGTGAGCCACCTACAGCCATATAAGTCCTGTAAATAAATAAATAAATGAATGAATAAATCCATCACAATATCTTATAATATCCTAGAATATGGTCCAGATGTTTAATCACAACTCAGATGAAAGTAGACTGCAGCATTTTGGGGTCTATCCCACTTGCATAATGGAGTTAGTCTAATAACAAAACTTAACACTGATGGATCTTTATGAATAGTTGTTCAAATACAAAGTGAAACCTAATATTCCCTCATGGCTACTTTTCAATCAGCCACTGCAGTTAATGCCAGCAGCCCCTTAGCCAGCAGAAATTCCTAGATGAACATTTGCATAGCATGGAGATAAACTTGTTAATTATCAGCATATCCGACTATTATTACAAGACCAGGTTTTTCTTTGGTAAACCAGCAAGTTTATTCACAAAGTGATGCTCTGAAAAACTTGTTTAGCTTTGAACCTGTACTGATTTCCTCTTTTTATGAGTTGTCACCCACTTCCAGACTTAGCTTACCTCAACTTTGCTTAATGTATCTGCTTGATCATTTGGAGAATTTGGGTATGTGAGCACTTCCCAAGTTTACCAAGGAAGAATCCATTTGCCACTTTCTGTTTTCCCATATTTTACAGAAAAAAAGAGGGCTTGAGGGGCTTGTAACACTCTAGCTCAACACTATTCATGCAGTCCTCAGTGTCAGCTTACACACATCCGGGATCAGAGAGGAAAGATTTTAAATCAGATTATATAATCTTTAGACAGATATGAATTAGGCCATCTCATTTTGCAGATCAATACTGCGTGATTTAAAGAGTATCCTTTCAGGAATTCAGCTACAGGTCCTGTTCTTCAGGTTCAATTAAACTGACCTTCTGGAGTAACAATCTAGCCCTAGCTCCATGACCATTTTATGATGAAGTCAGTGAAGCTATGGTAGGATATTAGGCAGCATATTTAACTTACTGTGTGCTGCTTCTGTTCCTTAGCACCCAATACTGGTGTGCAAGTCAAGGACTAAAGGTCCTGAAGCACAAATGGAAGACCATGGAATAAATCAAGAAGAACAAACATGTAAAGTTTAGGAAACAGGTCATGTGCTGCCAAGAAGAACATCAAGAACCAATAGTTTGACTAGTGGAAAAAACTACAATAATAGTTTCAATAATTAAAGATCAATTTTATTCAAAAAGCAAAATTATTTCCTAATGCCTAGCAAATGCTGATCACTGATCTGGCCTTAATTCCAGAGTTCCATTCAAATAAGTAAATAAGTAAATAAGTAAATAAGTAAATAAGTAAATAAGTAAATAAGTAAATAAGTAAATAAGTAAATAAGTAAATAAGTAAATAAATAAATAAATAAATAAGGTCATGTCCTATACCTATATATCATAAACTTGAGGTAACTATATTGTTTCATCAAGGTTGTATCATCTACTAGCAAGAAAAAAATTATGTTGTTTAATCAACATTTCTAGTACTTAATAAAACCAACCTTTTGTTTGCAGTCTGAAAATGTACTGTCATCCTGAAGTAGTTTTTTTCTTTCTGCTGTTCCCTTGTGGCAGAAGTCACAGTGAGATCCCCAAAAAGATCCACCAACCAGGTGAGGCGGGCAATGCCACTAAAAGATGGGAATCCTGAATATCTTTCATCCAATGGACCACCTTTGGATGAAAGAAAGAAAGAAAACTTGAATCAAAAAGATGGAAAGGAGAAGATCCTAAATATCTTCAGACAGAACTTATGTTATAAATGAATAGAAATTATAAGGCCTGATTTACACATACAAGGGGCAGAATGAGCTTTAGTACTTTAAGCTACAGTTGGGAAATGCAGAAGATCATACTTCTGGTGGTTCTCTTTGTAAACATTTATTCTTTCACAGCTGATGAAGGGTATCTTTCTCCTCCAAGGGCTAATCTGCAGTTTATGTTCACAATAAATAGCATTCAAATATCTTCCAACCACTCCCTTGTCTATCTGTAGTAAGAAATGACTCAATCCATTCATGATACAAGTCTAGACATCAAAGATATGTAAAATCAAAGGGTCTCTAACAACTAACCTGTGAAGTGTAATGTTCCCTTCACAAGCTCCTTTCCTGACACCTCTTTTTTCAGTTGTTTGTATTCCTCTGTCAATAGTTCAATATGTTCCACATGGAGGATCTTACCTGCCATTGAGATAATTCATATTTTGACAGGGTTACTTGTTATGCAAAATAAAGTCACAAAGCAATCAATATTTAAAACAGCAGTAGGTCCCAAAAGAAGAGTTGTCAGTACATTGATTGTCTTGTGCAAGAGTATGAAAGAAATTGTATATTTTAAACTTCTTGTTTCACAGTTATCAAAGCCTAACTCTTTAGGTAAGGGGCTGACAACTTTTATGAAGTTGTAACTAGCTATATATTCCATTGCCCTGCATCAAGATGCTATGTTGGAAGGAAGAAAAGCAACATTTCTCATATTCTCATTTTTGTTCAACTATTGATATAGGACAAGATAGATTTGCAATTATGTTGTCCTGGGATGTACACTCTAAATTACAAAGCCCTAAATCCTAAAGTGAAAAAACTGACTAGAATCCTCAGGTTTACTCAATAATACTCCTGTGTGAGTAGATATGAGTAGACTGAGTCCATTAAGGGTAATTAGATGCTTAAGTTCCAAATGGACAACATTACTTAAGATGTTATCTCTATTTAAGGTTCTATCTCTACCATTTCTGTATTTGGGGGGAGGGGGCAGGAGGAGGAGGAAGAAAAAAAAAAAATCTTTATTTTTCTTATAGGAAGACCCTAAGAGTATCAACCTCCAAATCAGAAGAAAACAGAACAGAGACAAGAAGAGGAACAAAAAAAGCCTTGTCTGCTATCTGTACTCCTAATGCTCCTGGTGTTCAATAGAAGCAGGCAGTCAATGCTTCTGCAGCTTTATCTCTACCCAAACCAAGAGTTGCCAAATACATTTAAAAAATAGATGCAGATTGTTTTATATATTACCTTTCTGCTCTGCCAACTCCCAAAGTTCATGGGCTGCCTTCGTAGACAATGCCAAAGGGTACTCAACAAGGACATGCTTGCCAGCCTCTAGGAACGTCCTTATAGAGAAGAAAGGGTTTTATATTTTGTACTTCCCTTAGGAAGCTGAAATCAGAGTACAGATACCCCCCCCCAATTGTTATCAGCAGTCTTGGAAAACAACCATATCCAAAACCTATTTTGGCCTTCCTCTAAGTAAAGACATTTAGAGCCACCCTTAACAGAAGTAGGACACAATTGTAGATACTAGACAATATAGACCAATCTTCACTTTACAATATGTCTAATACACATGTAAATAATAAAAACAGTTCCCAATAAGAGGGGGAAAAAAAGATGCATGCATATTTATTCTGCTACTTTTCTAAAAAGTTCTCACTTCCATAATTTTGAAAGCTAGGAAAAGGTACAGTTTAAATACTTGTGATTTTTGTTTTGCACTTGAGTGAAGTCTTAATATTTGGTTCTAAAACATAATTGACGGATACCTAGCTACCATCTTAAATTATCACCAGTTTGATATATAGAGAACGTTAATGGCTTCTACAGGTAGTCCTTCCTTAACAATCACAATTGGGACCAGAATTTAGGTCACTAAGTGGTGCGGTCGTTAAGTGAATCATCACATGACTGGATCCAATTTTATGACCTTTTTTCGTTAAGTGAATCATGCGGTTGTTAAGCCATCATTAGGAGAATCACGTGGTTCCCCACTGACTTTGCTTGCCAGAAGCTGGCTGGGAAGGTCACAAATGGTGATCATGTGACCCTGGGAGCTGCAACCATTCTAAGTGCTAGCTGGTTGTCAAACACACAGATTGAGATCACATGTCCATAGGGGCACTGTGACAGTTGTAACTTCAGGCACCAGTCATAAGTCACTTTTTTTAGCACCATCGTAACTTCAAAAGGTTGCTAAATGAATGGTTGTTAAGTGAGGACTTGTATTCAGTTTTCCACCAGTCAAGAGATCTGCGCACCTTGCAGAGACTGAAAACAATTTATATATATCTCTCTCGCAGCTTACATAAAAAATAAAACCAAATTAAAAAATCAATACAATTATAAACAATAAAATAACCCCACCCAAGCATTTTTCATTTTAGGTCTTTTAAATCTTTTAATGGATACTGATTGACCACTTGTTACGTTAACAGACCGTAGTATTTTGAAAGCTGTAGATGCCCAGACTTTCTGGAAAGGGATATAAATTTTGCAAACTAACAAAAAACAATTTGCTGCTCTTTAAAAATTGTTTGGCCTAGTTATGATATCATAACTTCTGTCTTTTTTTAAAATTTTGATCCTCCCCCCCCGGCTATCTTGCTGTTTCAAATGGCAACTAATTAATGAACATTCTACTTAATGCTTTAATGCTAGGAATTCAAAAGGCAATACCTTACACTCTCAATGTGGTTTTGGTTATCTGTACTGATGATGGCAACATGGACCTCCTGGTTGTCCAGAGCTTCTTGCAGACTAATTTGCTTGACTTGATAAACATCATTTAGAGATCTCCTAGTTTTAGCAGAAAAAAAAGGGAGTGATAAGAAAGACTCCCCTGAGAATTATACAAGATTATACAGATTATACAAGAGCAGCATCAGCAGAAGTATCAACATTTTAATGGTTAGACCTAAGAAGTCCTAAATGAATTTCTCTCTCAACCATGATTTCAATGGGTTTGTTAATTTTGCACATCCACAATATGGTCAGCTGATGCCTCCCCTCTTTGGCCTACTGACCTCAGTTTCAAGGTTGTGTTCTGAAACATACACTGTATGAGGTTATGGAATTATTTCTGGGAAGACTTCACAAGTAAGCTTGAGAAAAAAAAAACCTCTTATCCTATATGGTATAGCTTTTGTTTAGTAATTAAAAATGGAAGGTGACTGGTTGCTATAGCAAAAAAGTGGCAATTCTTAAAAAAGACAATTTATTTGTTAATCTACTGTATTTTCTCTACAACTATGCAAAATGTCTTGGCCATTTTGAATTCTAAATGCTTCTGTTCGGAGTTCAAAACAGTTGTTTCAAGTCTGAAAAAAAGTTGCCCTGGATTTGAAATGGGTTCTTTCAAAAACGTTTTGACCTTAAAACAGGGGGTTCCAACATTGAAACAGAGCTACTTCAAAGTGCAGAACTCTTCTAAAATGATTGAAACAGCCTATTTGAAACCCAGAGCAACATTTTCAAATCTAAAACAAGAGGTGGTGAATTTAAAATTGTTTGCATACTACTAGTCTTCAATATTTGGAGTAAATTAGCAGTAATAACAGAAAAATACAATTGTCATTCAACAAGAGACATATTATAAATCTTTGCATGGAAAAATGGGATTTATGAGTTGTAGCAGAAATGTTTTCAATGGTGATATAAATATAGAAGGGAGTGCAAGAATTTAAGGACGCAGGCACTGCTTTGCATTAATGACATCGTATTGATTTGCAACTACTTGTATGTTTTGCCATACAAAAACTCTCTCAGCTTTGCCATTACATTCTGATTCTGAAATGGAATCTTAACATTTCAACTAGGTAATGAAGACAAAGCTATAGTGTTCTAAAAGCCACAGGAAGCCATAATCAAGACAACATTTACATTTGTCTGGCTACAACACATCATCGTACATTACATAAAGAAGCCCCTCTCACCTAGAAACAAATCCCAATAATTTAAGATGCTCAGCAGGACTGGAAGGCAAAGGATTCAGCAAGTCTTTGACTCGTACAGATCCAGCAATTCCAATCCCAATCACTACTGTTCCAAACATTGCCAATTCTAGAGGGAAAAGAAGAGAAGAAAGGAGCATAAAAAAAAAGAATGAATACTGAACTGAATTTTGAGCTACTAAGTCTCATAGAAAAAAATGGTTTAAATCAAGAGACACACTCCAGGCAAATGCAATCATTTGCTTTTAATGGTAAAATTGCATAACTGTAACTCAGTTGTGCTTACCATATTCTTCTAAGCTTTGAATATGTTTTTCTTCTTTTCAGAAGTCTGTTCCTCCTTTTCTCTCTCTGCTATTATTATCTATAAACTAACTTTTTCTTTTTAATTTAGGACATCCTTTTCTGACAACGTACTTGTAGAATGAATGGATAAGGGCAGCTTCTATTTATTTTCCAGATAGCCTTTACAAGCAGGCATATAAAAGATTCTCTGGAACTTTTTTAATTTACTCAGCATGCCTAAGGAGTACCCATCATCATACCAAAAGAGGGAGAACATTTTTATTCACTACATTCCTCATGTGTGTGAGGAAAATTGTGCTAAGATGGCCAGCAGCATGCACAGTAAGCAAAAGACATCAATCCATAAATAATTGTCCTTGGCCTCTCTAATGTTCTATCCATTCCTCCATTCTGCCAGCAATTGGCTGGATGAGGTGAGGCAACAGCAGAAAAAGGATGGTCCAAAAAGAAAGAAGCATAAAACATGGATAAAAGTACATACCTGAGGCAAAAAAGGGGGACTTTCTCTTGAACAGATGCAGACAGGCCACAAAAAGTGTCTTTCCTACATACAGAAGAATATCAGAGTTAGTAATGCAAGTAGCATTATTCAGAGCTATGCCCCTAGTTTCTCTGTATCCTAGAGATAAGGCCCACAGACTTTAATCTCCTCCAGATAAACACATGGATGCAACTAACTGGTTATCACTCAGAAACAGTACATGGGTGTCAAACAGGAATTCCAAGGCACAGGACACAGTTTTGAAGGAAGTCTAAATTGATTAGCTGAAATAGATCTTTATATTTTAAACAACTAGGTCTTTTTTCTTTTAAAATCATGAATTCTGTTCTCCTAATATACTGCCAAATTACTCTAATAAAAACAGGGTAATATCAGAAAGCTTCTTTTTTTCCCGCCTGATATTCCATTTTCTCCTTTACTGAAAATTGTTTTCTCATAATAAAACTTTCAGAAAGTTCGGTTAACTGGAAAAAAATGTACAATTTCCACTTGTTTATCAGTTTAAAAAATCATGGAGAATTATGCTGTTAATTTCATAAAAGTCCTATATACCACCAAAAGCCCAAGACGTAGTTTAAATCAACACATACAATTTATGGTCTCCTTTATCAATGGGAATTTTGCCTTAGTTTTATAGTCACAGATATCTAATTAAGATGACTAACTTAATGTTCAGAAGGTAATAGTTATGTACTTTGAAGAGTTTGATTCAAAATGAGTTTAAAGAGTTTATTTTGGCGGGGGGTACCTTCAAGTCAGTTTTGACTCCTGGCAACTGTCTGAACAAGTCCCTGCAGTTTTCATTCTACCAGTCATTGGTCCCCTGATTAGCTATTTTCCACAACCAATCTTTCTTTTTATTTTTGTATTACATCTGTTCTGCTATTTTACTGCTGTGTCACATTTTCTTCCTATTTAAGTACTGCCTAAATACCAGTCAGATGTTGATGCTTTACCTTGGGACCTTATAGAGTCATAAAGTTTCTTCTGGTAGCATAAACTATTCTTACAATGAGAAATACAATTGCTATTAATACGTTTAACGATATTACTGTAATATCTTTAATACAGATAGCTTTTTCTGGAAAGTGCATGAGAATGAAGAGATCATTCAGAGCTCCTATTAGTGAACAGAAAGACCAACGGTTTTTATTTTGCTTTTCAAATGTTAGCTTAATATTTACTAGTGTTTTGAAGTATTATTATCTCTCATCGTATCTCATTCAAATTCTTGCTTTCATAGAATTCCATGGTAATCCCTGAACTTGTCATAGTAGTTGGATTTTGACTGAGTGACTTGACTGAAGTGCTACACTTATGAGTAAAGAGACTCTAGGCTGTTATACTCACAGGCTTCTTGTAGCCTCTCTTTGAATTAGAAGCAATGTTCAAAACTTTAAAAACAATTTTAAAAAGTAAAAACTTCCTCTTGGTAAAAACATGGACACTGTATAGGCTTTCTGGCAATGACACAGAAGTGACTTGCCATTGCCTTCTTTGGGGATGATTTCCTGGTGTAGTCTACAGCCCTAGTATTCCCTGATGGTGTCTAATGCTAACCAGATTGGGCCTGCTTGGTTTTTTTTAAGGTCAGTTAGTGTAAGCTAGATACTGCCACCTGAGCTGCACAAGAAGACTTTTAACTCTGCCTTAGTTGCCGAACTTTCTTGCTTTTATTCAGTTTATTTACTGTCCTTATTCGTACATACCCTGTATCGATCAAAATCATTCAAAAGAGGGTGTCAGCATCAAGGTGTTAATCCAGCAGGAATCATCATACAGTAACTTCTGCTATATGTTCATGCAAGAGAATTGCATTTATACTTTACCACTCTTGTACAATATTTTAGACATACAATTCCATTCAGCCTTAACCTGCACATATGTGGAATATCAAAAATTGGCTATCATATTAACCATTAATGTGGAATGCCCCAAAATGGCTGCTGCAGCATATGCAATGAGTCAAAAAACACAATCTGTACTCTGGAAGACTAATTACTGAAACTGAAAGGCAAATTCTTTGCACCACAATCTGATTAAACAGCATTTCCAAATAACAAATTTACTCCTTAATTTACCATTGTTCCCTCCCCTTCAGAGTAATATCTCATCTCTCTCAGCCCATGAGATCTACTTATTTCAGTCATTTATTTCTTTTTTTCAGAATTACTTTTATCCTAAGCACTTTCTCCCTCTTTCTGACAAGTGCATCCAGTACAGAGCCTGTTCCTGCTATTCCTATCCCATCAGGTTACCTTGTCAATATCCTTCATTCCTCTTTGCAGCTCTCCCTACATCAGCCCTAATTAACCTGTTTCCTCCCTCCACTCTATTTTGTCATACTGCTTCCTCTTCCTATTGTAAAAGGGTTTCTTTTAGATCTGTCCCAGCCTTCTCTGTCTGCACCACTATGACCTTCAAACACAAGCAATGGGATCTTCCTGTTTTGTTTTTTTTAAGGCAACTGGCTGCACTTCAAAGCAAAGCAATGACCTCCAGCAGCCTCTCATCTTTATTTAAAACTGCCAAGGTCCATGGGGCCTAGAGGCATCAGTCAAATTAAGATGGCAGAGGTATGGAGGCTAGGTGTTCCCTTTGGAAGCTCCTAACTGTCTGAAAAAAGTACAGCTTTGAAAAATAAATTAAAATGATCAGAGGCATCAGTGGAGTACTTTGTAAGCCTAAGAGATGGCACAAACACATTTATGCCAAACAGAACCATGTTGATTCCACTCTATAGTCCAGGGTTTATATCACACAGACCAACCCCCGATGCATAAATGTGCAGTTTGGTTACCTTTTACTTGGCCAGAAAGCCTTTGGTAGGCTCCTCTAAGTCTCCATTTGAGCAGAGAGATAAAAGTACTTTAAAAGCCCAGTGCTTGTCAGATTTTTGGTACTTTCATGCTTGGAGCTTAGAAGAAGATGGCACTCCTCCTATCTCATATACAGAAGCAGCCAGACAGGTAACTGAATTTTATTTCAACTAACATCCCAGAAGTCAAAGGCAAACCATTTGTGTATTATTACCAAGAAAAGATAGATATGTCCACATAACAATCAAGAGAAGATTTCAAATTGAAGGAACTTTATTGTAATGGGATGGCATCTTGGCATGTACCGTACTTTAGGCCAAGTGGCAATCTACAGTTCTACCCCAAATTCCTATCTCATTCTGTCATCTCCATCAAGTCCCATTGGTAGGGCTAGCTCTTCAAATGTCTTCCCTACCCATACATAGAAACTGAAGCCTCTTTTCCATCATGCAAACAGATGTGAACGAATAATATGTGGATCTTTCTGGATTAGCTGTTTGGTATAGAGAAGCTAAGAATGGGTGGAAGGGACTCTGCCAAAGAAAAGCTTAATTTAAGAATAAAAGTGAGTTTATTTTTTCGAAAATCAAAGTACAAATGAATCTTTGCTTTTTTTAAATCATTCATTCACTCAAAATAAGGGCCTACTGATAGGATTTAGGGAGAACTGTGCTTGGATCCAGACCATACCTATTGAGATTACCTGTTCTCAATTCTGCAAACATGTCATTTTTGTGGATGGAACACACACTGGAATTCTTTCTTTCTTTTGAATACTATTATGCAGAAGTCATTTGGTCTCTGAGGTATTACCTTGCTTGTTTCCAAATCTCTTCGCCATTTTAAGTGTCAATATTGGTAAGAAAATTGAAAATGAAGCTTCTGTCAATCAAGACTTCAAAAACAGTTACTTTCAAGATGTCTGTTTTCTCAGTATCTGAAAACTAGACAACCTTTTTGTCTGATTCAATATTTTATGCATATTTAGTAATGCTTTTAACTGTGCCTATACTTTTAACTGAACCAATAGAAACCAGTCTATATTAATTCTGATGACAAGTATTTGCTATGTGATACCTATACCACCAGAGGGAACCCTTCGTGTCTCAAATATTTAAGCTTTATCCCAGCTCTCAATGTCCTCAAAATGTACTTTGTTGTGATTTATTTTAATCACAACAAAGTACATTCCAAAACTGTCCCTCTGCTTCTAAGTTAAGATGAAATAAGAATAGGTTTACAGTATATATAATCTAAGTTGCATGTCCTTTTCTTATGACCCCTCTATAACTCATAGTTGGAAGGAAAGCAAAGAGGAAAATTCACCTTCAGTAGAGTTTTTGGACATATTTCGGACAGATAACTGGATGGGACATTTAGGCAAAAGATTTTCTGATATAGAAATTTTATCTTTATTTGTATGAAAAAGGAAGAATATATTTATACTGGTGTCATGGAAGAAACATTGTTGGAAGCAGTCCTAATTCATTATAGTAAGACTTATTCCTAAGCAACAAATAAGCAAAACATATAAACAAGCAGGCTGCTTCTCTCACATCACACAGAATCTTACCGAAGGCTGTTGCCTCTTCCCAAACACCTAATTGTGGGCCTATTTGTTTGGCTCTTCTGTTTTCCAATACATAAACCTTTTCAGTTCTACTCAGAAGCTAAGAAGCTGCCTGATGTTGCAATGGCAATAACACATTTTTTATTTAGATTTTATAAATTTTGATGAAAAACATGAAATCCCAATTTATCAGAAATATGCAACCGCTGAGATCATTAAGGAGCAAGAATGCTACATAGGTTCCTTGACTTCATTGCTTTTTTAGCATTTGGGTCTATAGCCTATAGTCTCCAAAGTTGCATTTTCTAAATAAAAAAACACA